ACACCGAGATTCCAGTAGCTGTCACAAGTGCTTTCATGTTCTTCTCCGCATAGTTTAATACGGATAGCGAGTGCATGCTGGTGAGATAGCAGAGCTGCGCTGTCGTCATGCATTTTGTTTTGTGTTACACCGAGTTCCCTGTAGCTGTCAGCAATGCTTCCATGTTCCTCTCCAAATAGTTTAATAGGGATAGCTAGTGGATGCTGGTGAGATTGTAGAGCTTCGTTATAGTCATCCATGTTGTGTTGTGTTACACCCAGTTGCCTGTAGCTGTCAGCAGTGCTTTCATGTTCCTCTTCAAATAGTTTAATACGGATAGCTACTGCATGCTGGTGAGATTGTAGAGCTGCGTTATAGTCATCCATGTTGTGTTGTGTTACACCGAGGTTCCAGTAGTTGTCAGCAGTGCTTTTATGTTCCTCTCCGAGTAGTTTAATACGGATAGCTAGTGCATGCTGTTTAGATTGTAGAGCGGCGCTGTAGTCATGCAGGGTGTATTGTGTTTTACCGAGTTGACTGTGGCTGTCAGCAGTGCTTTGATGTTCCTCTCCAAATACTTTAATACGGATAGCTGGTGCATGCTGGTGAGATTGTAGAGCTGCACTGTAGTCATACATGTTGTATTGTGTTTCACCGAGTTGGCTGTAGCTGTCAGCAGTGCTTTTATGTCCCTCTCCAAATAGTTTTATACGGATATCTAGTGCATGCTGCTGAGATTGTATAGCTGCTCTGTAGTCATGTATTTTGTTTTGCGTTTCAAGGAGTTCCCAGTAGCTCTCAGCAGTACTTTCATGTTCCTCTCCAAATAGTTTAGTACGGATAGCTAGTGCATGCTGGTGAGGTTGTAGAGCTGCGCTGTAGTTATGCATGTTGCATTGTGTTACACCGAGTTCCCTTTAGCTCTCAGCAGTGTTTTCATGTTCCTCTCCAAATAGTATAATACGGATACCTAGTGAGTGCTGGTGAGATTGTAAAGCTGCGCTGTAGTCATGCATGTTGTTTTACGTTACACCGACTTGACTGTAGCTGCTGTCAGCAGTGCTTTTATTTTCCTCTCCAAATAGTTAAGTACGGTTAGCTAGTGCATACTGGTGAGATTGTACAGCTTCGCTGGTGGTCTGCATGTTTTTCTGCGTTACACCGAGTTGTCTGTAGCTGTCAGGAGTGCTTTTGTCTTCCTCTCCAAACAGTTTAATACCGATAGCTTGTGCATGCTGGTGAGATTGTAAATCGGCGCTGTAGTCATCCACGTTGTGTTGTGTTACACCAAGGTCCCTTTATCTCTCATCAGTGCTTTCACGTTCCTCTCCAAATAGTTTAATAAGGATAGCTCGTGCATGATGGTAAGATTGTAAATCTGCGCTGTAGTCATCCACGTTGTGTTGTGTTACACCGAGGTCCTGTAGCTCTCACCAGTGCTTTCATGTTCCTCTCCAAATAGTTTAATACGGATAGGTACTGCATGCTGGTGAGATTGTTAAGCTCCGCTGTAGTCATTCACGTTGTCTTGTGTTAAACCGAGGTCTCTGTAGCTCTCAGCAGTGCTTTCATTTTCCTCTCCAAATAGTTTAATGCGGATAGCTACTGCATGCTGAAAAGATTGTAGAGCTGCGCCGTAGTTTTGCATGTTGGTTTGCGTTACACCAAGTTGCCTGTAGCTGTCAGCAGTGCTTTTATGTTCCTCTCCAAATAGTTTAATACGGATAGCTAGTGCATGCAGGTGAGATTGTAGAGCTGCGCCGAAGTTATACCCGTTGTTTTGCGTTACACCGAGGTCCCTTTAGCTCTCAGCAGTGCTTTCATGTTCCTCTCCAAATAGTATAATACGGATACCTAGTGAGTGCTGGTGAGATTGTAAAGCTGCGCTGTAGTCATGCATGTTGTTTTACGTTACACCGACTTGACTGTAGCTGTCAGCAGTGCTTTTATTTTCCTCTCCAAATACTTAAGTACGGTTAGCTAGTGCATACTGGTGAGATTGTAGAGCTTCGCTGGTGGTCTGCATGTTTTTCTGCGTTACACCGAGTTGTCTGTAGCTGTCAGGAGTGCTTTTGTCTTCCTCTCCAAATAGTTTAATACCGATAGCTTGTGCATGCTGGTGAGATTGTAAATCGGCGCTGTAGTCATCCACGTTGTGTTGTGTTACACCAGGGTCCCTTTATCTCTCATCAGTGCTTTCACGTTCCTCTCCAAATAGTTTAATAAGGATAGCTCGTGCATGATGGTAAGATTGTAAATCTGCGCTGTAGTCATCCACGTTGTGTTGTGTTACACCGAGGTCCTGTAGCTCTCACCAGTGCTTTCATGTTCCTCTCCAAATAGTTTAATACGGATAGGTACTGCATGCTGGTGAGATTGTTAAGCTCCGCTGTAGTCATTCACGATGTCTTGTGTTAAACCGAGGTCCCTGTAGCTCTCAGCAGTGCTTTCATTTTCCTCTCCAAATAGTTTAATGCGGATAGCTAGCGCATGCTGAAAAGATTGTAGAGCTGCGCCGTAGTTTTGCATGTTGGTTTGCGTTACACCAAGTTGCCTGTAGCTGTCAGCAGTGCTTTTATGTTCCTCTCCAAATAGTTTAATACGGATAGCTAGTGCATGCAGGTGAGATTGTAGAGCTGCGCCGAAGTTATACCCGTTGTTTTGCGTTACACCGAGGTCCCTGTAACTCTCAGCAGTGCTTTCATGTTCCTCTCCAAATAGTTTAATGCATATAGCTAATGCATGCCGGTGAGCTTCTAGAGCTGCGCTGTAGTCATGCATGTTGCTTTGTGTTACACCGAGTTGCCTGTAGCTGTCAGCAGTGCTTTTATGTTCCTCTCCAAATAGTTTTATACGGATAGCTAGTGCATGCTGGTGAGATTTTAGAGCTGCGCTGTAGTCATGCATTATGTATTGTGTTACGCCGAGTTCCCTGTAGCTGTCAGCAGTGCTTTTATGTTCCTCTCCAAATAGTTTAATACGGATAGCGAGTGCATGCTGGTGAGATTGTAGAGCTGCGCTGTAGTCATGCATGTTGCATTGTGTTTCACCGAGGGTCAAGTACCTGTCAGCAGTTCTTTTATCTTCCTCTCCAAATAGTTTAATACTGATATCTAGTGCATGCTGGTGAGATTGTAGAGCTGCGCTGTAGTCATGCATGTTGCATTGTGTTACACCGAGGTTCCAGTAGCTGTCAGCAGTGCCTTCATGTTCCTCTCCAAATACTGTAATACGGATAGCGAGTGCATGCTGGTGAGATTGTAGAGCTGCGCTGTAGTCATGCATGTTGTATTGTGTTACACCGAGGTCACTGTAGCTGTCAGCAGTGCTGTTATGTTCCTCTCCTAATAGTTTTATACGGATAGCTAGTGCATGCTGGTGAGATTTTAGAGCTGCGCTGTAGTCATGCATGTTGTTTTGTGTTACACCGAGTTCCCTGTAGCTGTCAGCAGTGCTTTCATGTTCCTCTCCAAATAGTTTAATACGGATAGCTAGTGCATGCTGGTGAGATTGTCGAGCGGCGCTGTAGTCATGCAGGGTGTATTGTGTTTTACCGAGTTGACTGTAGCTGTCAGCAGTGCTTTGATGTTCCTCTCCAAATACTTTAATACGGATAGCTAGTGCATGCTGGTGAGATTGTAGAGCTGCACTGTGGTCATGCATGTTGTATTGTGTTTCACCGAGTTTGCTGTAGCTGTCAGCAGTGTTTTTATGTTCTTCTCCAAATAGTTTTATATGGACATCTAGTGCATGCTGGTGAGATTGTATAGCTGTTGTGTTGTCATCTATTTTGTCTTGCGTTACACGGAGTTCCCAGTAGCTCTCAGCAGTGCTTTCATGTTCCTCTCCAAATAGTTTAGTACGGATAGCTAGTGCATGCTGGTGAGATTGTAGAGCTGCGCTGTAGTCATGCATGTTGCATTGTGTTACACCGAGTTTCCTGTAGCTGTCAGCAGTGCTTTCATGTTCCTCTCCAAATAGTTTAATACGGATAGCTAGTGCATGCTGGTGAGATTGTAGAGCTGCGCTGTATTCCTGCATGTTGTTTTGTGTTACACCGAGGTCCGTGTAGCTCTCAGCAGTGCTTTCATGTTCCTCTCCAAATAGTTTTATACGGATAGCTAGTGCATGCTGGTGAGATTCTAAAGCTGCGCTGTAGTCATGCATGTTGTTTTGTGTTACACCGACTTGACCGTAGCTGTCAGCAGTGCTTTTATTTTCCTCTCCAAATAGTTTAGTACGGATAGCTAGTGCATGCTGGTGAGATTGTAGAGCTGCGCTGTAGTCATGCAGGGTGTATTGTGTTTCACCGAGTTGACTGTAGCTGTCAGCAGTGCTTTGATGTTGCTCTCCAAATAGTTTAATACGGATAGTTAGTGCATGCTGCTCAGATTGGAGAGCTGCGTTGTAGTTATGCATGTTGTACTGTGTTTCACCGAGTTGACCATAGCTGTCAGCAGTGCTTTTATGTTCCTCTCCAAATAGTTTAATACGGATAGCTATTGCATGCTGGTGAGATTGTAGAGCTGCTCTGTAGTCATGTATGCTGTTTTGTATTACACCGAGTTCCCAGTAGCTCTTAGCAGTGATTTCATGTTCCTCTCCAAATAGTTTAATACTGATAGCCAATGCGTTCTTGTGAGATTGTAGAGCTGCGCTGTCGTCATGATTATTGTTTTTTGTTATACGGAGTTCTTTGTAGCTGGCAGTAGTGCTTTTATGTTCTTCTCCAAATAATTTAACACGGATAGCTTGTGCATGCTGGTGAGATTTTTGAGGTGCGCTGTAGTCATTCAGGTTGCATTGTGTTAGACTGATTTGCCTGTAGCTATCAGCAGTGCTTTCATGTTCCTCTCCAAATAGTTTAATACGGATAGCTAGTGCATGCTGGTGAGATTCTAAAGCTGCGCTGTAGTCATGCATGTTGTTTTGTGTTACACCGACTTGACTGTAGCTGTCAGCAGTGCTTTCATGTTCCTCTCCAAATAGTTTAATACAGATAGCTAGTGCATGCTGGTGAGATTTTAGAGCTGCGCTGTCGTCATCCATGTAGTATTGTGTTACACCGAGTTCCCTGTAGCTGTCAGCAGTGCTTTCATGGTCCTCTCCAAAGAACCTTGTTGCTATGTCAAGCGCTCGCCGGTTTGACTGAAGTGCCCCTGAGTAATTTTTTTCTTGCCGGTAAACTTCACCCAGGTCTATGTAACATTTCACAAGCGCTTCAGTTTGCATTTGACTATAACGGTTACCACCATATTTGTCATTAGTAAGGAAACTTTCTTGGCATTGTTCGAGTGTTTTTTCATGACATTTGATTCTTGACCAAAAAGAATTCACAGGGCTTTCACTCTTTAATTCCCTCAACAGTTGTACCAGGGCGCTATGAAACATTAGCAAGCCAAGTGAAATTATAACCTCTTTTTCGACACACTCTAACATTTGAAGAACCAAGTTACTTGTATATTGCTTGGTTTTAGCGTCGGAGAAAAACTCTGTAGCTTCGCTTAAGAGAAAGGCAAAATGAAATTCAAGGGGTTCATTGAGCATGGAGTCTGACTTCTTTCCAACTTGTATTTCATTGTTGGCGCCCTTTGCTTTGCTTTTCGGTGGCGGAATTATAAGCAGCTTACAATCTCCCACTGCAGAACACAAATGTTGTGATTTGAAATAGAAATTACTCGCATTATAGAAGTCATTTAAGGCCTCATAATAGCAACCCAGGATCTGAAAAATAAGAAGCTTCAGAATTAACGTCTCTGGGTTCTTGCAATTTTCCAGTGATGAAAGCGCCTCTATTAAGCACTGGACTCCGTTCTTCGATTCGTTTGCAGTAAGGTAAAAAATTCCTAAATAGCACAAGCATTTGCCTTTTTCTTGGTTAGAAACATCGGACGATGCTGCTTGCTTTTCTTTTACTTCAGAGAGAAGACGATTCGTCTGTCCTCTTCGCCCCCAGGTTACCTCACCAAAAGCCTTTGAAGAAAGTAGCTGTCTGTGGTATTTTTCCTTTCCATGCAGATTGGCTGCTTTTATGGCAGTGTCGTATATGTGAAGAAACTTGTTCGCGTCACTCCAAAAAAGCGAGGCAAGAAACAACTCCCCTTTGACCAAAATTTGAAAGACGCTGTCAGCTGTTTTGGAATCAAAACATCCCTCTATTAGGCTTTGAATAATGCTCTCTTTATCCTCATAGAATGCAACATATGCAGCCAAGGAATGCCCAGTGAGAAATTGTTCATTGAGCTCATGAAAGTGTGAGACATAGAATGCATTCAAACGACCTTTTGCGTTAAGAATCGTCTCTTTCATATCAGTGTGTCCTTTCTCTCTTGAAAATGATTGCAAGAGTTTGTGCATCGTGAAAGCCCCGGGTTTAGAGCTTGAATCAATCAGTGACTTCCTCCGCAGAATTTGTAACATTCTTTTGGCTTCGAAAGCGGTTTTCGTACCTAAAACGGCTGCAGCGACCTCTGTACTGAAATTTCCGGGGAAAATGCTTAAAGAAATTAGTGCCTCTTGTTCTTGCTCAGCAAGTCTCTGGAATGAGGAATCAAAGACGAACTTTAATCGATGACTGGTCGGATAATCCTGATTGTCCAACATTTCGACAATACCTTCTGAGGAAGATGTCATGAAATTATCCAGAGAATGGCGTGGTGAAGCACTGTCTTCAGATATCAAAGAACACATTAATTTCATAGCTAAAGGAACTTGTCCGCAGAGTTGTGCGATTTTTCTGCAGTCTGCAACGTTCGCATTTGGAAGTAACTCATGAATTAGCGTTTGGGCAGAGGCTTCGCCCAATGTTCCTATTCTTAAACCTCGATGGCCTTGAAAGTGGACGTTCATAAACTCAAGGGACTCTCTTGTAGTTACAATGAATGTAACCCTTGGATTTTGTCTCAGAATTTCTTCAAGAAGTTGCATGACCTCTTCCTTCACTTTTGGACGACCACTTTCTAACAAATCATCAGCATTATCTAGGATAAATGCAGATTGTTCTGATATTGCACTGAATAGTTGGCAAATCTTATCATCAAGGGATAGACGCTCATCGGACAGTTGTTTTTCTTCAATGGTTGGTTGCGTTAGAAGACTAAGAAACTTTGAAGTCAGACCCGCCTTTGACTGAAGTCCTCGCAATGAAACCCAGTACATAGGCAGCCCTTGAGTCTGAAGAGCGTGTCCCACTGCAATTGCAACCGACGTTTTTCCGAATCCAGGTGGACCCCAGATCGACACAAGTCGGGTGGAATCGGAAGTGACATGCCCGATGATCTCTTCAACCTCGCTCTGTCGCCCAACAAAATTAGGAACCATTGAAGGAAGGTAGGCTCTTAAGAGCGATGGTCTCGTACCTTTGATGATGAGAAAAGACCAAAAGTGAAAAAGAAATCAGTTAAAATCTTCAAAAATAAATATATATTATAAATAAGTCAATTTTGACCCTTCATTCAATGTACAAATGATATTCTTGCGGTGAATTCACATCGACCCAAGGCCATTTTTTCATCTCTTTATGTTAGGAATCTTTATAGTTCTTTTTTTTTTTTTTCATACATAACAAAAACTTGAGAAAGATGTTCTATAGGCAGTGTCTGGAAGACGGCTCAAAAGAAAAAAACCTTAGAACTTCCCAACAGGAGTCAATGGAGTCAAGAGATGCTCTACCATTGAGATACAGAAGACTTGTAGGTGCAAACAAACCCTAACTGGAAAAAAGTGTACTCTCCGCGGCTTAAACTGTGACTTTTTTAACTACGTTACAATCTCAAGGCTCTGATGAAAAAGAAAAGTCAGGATTTGAGGCTTTTTTTGTCAATGGGACTAGCTGAATTAACCAGTCCTATAATTGAAATTTGCTTACTATTTGTCCAAACCATAAACTGACTCTTCGGCTGGAACAGTTTCTCAAAATCTTACCTGAATTGTCAGGTAGATTATCATGTTCGTCTCTTCCTACTTTCAATTCATCAATCTTTTTTTCCAACCTAGTGATGTCTTCTTTGCTGGCATTGTCCACTTCGACCTGTTGCTTTAAATCATTGATGTCTGAACTCACACTCTCCAGACCTTCCCTAAAGTCCTCGAGACATTTGATGTACGCCCGAGTCTCGTCTCGGATTCTTGCCTCCAGTTTTCGAACTTTATTTGTGGGAAAGTCTGACTCCGCCAAACTAACAAGTGCTTCAATTGGTGCTGTCGAGACACCAAGGGCTTGAAACGCGTCTTTAGCGTAATTAACGCGCTGGTCAAAAGTCGGTTTGTCCATCTCACTTCTGATGGAGTGACAGAGGGAATTTCTAAGAAGGCGGAGCTGGTCAATTGCAAGTGCAAAGGTCTCCGCCATGTTTCCACTCGGGCTGACCACACATGCGTGGAAACTACCATGAGGTACTGCACAGGGCTTCACGTACAAATCACTTAGTGTGGTGAAGGGGCCTGTACTGGCTGGTGAGGCAAAGGACCGCGCAAGTATAGTAGCCTGGAACAGACTGGTACAATCCCATTCGTTGTAAGACTGAAGAACAGGAACTTTAGTCTTCTTGCCACTTTTTGCTTCTTCAGAGTCGAACATATTTCTAACAGCAGTGGAATTATCCCAGAGCTGGAAACCGGGGCGATGTCCATGAGTGTTGTCCCACATGGTTTTAAAGGTCTGCCGTAAGGCTTTGGGAAATTCATTTAACACTAAGGACGAGAACTTAAAGAAATTTAATTGCTCGTCACTAAACGGCTGCAGTGCTGTCATCTCCACTTAGAAAACGCAGTAGGTGAAGGAACTAAAATTGATGAAAGAAAGAAATTATCAACAATTAAACTCAACTCCCCTTCATTCCCAAAAATTGCGTTTTTCGTCAGTGTATTTCGCGATCGCATGCTTTTCGGCGACCCTATACGAATTGGGACGGCACAACCAGATAGCCTTATATTACATTGTCCTGCTATCAGAGGGAAAAAATTGCCTACGAGAAATGCTCCAAGAGTAACTAACAGACAAACGGAAAGCCGGTTTAAATCAAATAAACTGACTTTCCGTGCCGCCTGGTGTGGTACTTCATAATTAGGACGTTTTGGGCGGGGATATGTAGCTGGTCCCCTGGAAACATTTTCCTATACTAAACCTGCTATCCTATTTCACTATATTTCCCATCTATATATCGACGCTATCTGACTCGCGGCTAAATTTGAATTTGCCAATCTTATTTTTCAGTTAATTGTCAATTCCCGGTTTTCCTAGTCTAAACTAAAATCTTCCATTAGCCTTAGTAGCTGGCGGAATCGTCACGTCAGCGCGCATTGAGGCAGGGAGTTGCGAATTCGCGCGAGAGAATGGCGGCTTCGCTGCCAAAACCTGACTCGCATGCCTATCATCAGTCAATGGATCAACCTCGTCCACAGGGCTTTTAAGGGAAAAGCCCTGGGGACGAGGTTGTCAATGGATCAGCTTTCTCGAAAATGATACCCTATTCTAGACACACCCTTTCTGATTTCTGCACCCTATCCCAGACTATACTGCTTGAAAACCATACCCTTCACAGCGGCACATTCCTATATACCCCATTTATGGAAATAGCTACCGTAAACAGTTGGATGCGTTATGCATAATTCGATTCATGTAAATTAACCAAGACGTTTCGTTTATTTATTTCGCAAACTACCATACAGCAGTTGTTCTTTTTATAAAAACGTTTCCACTAGTTTCTTCCTCGTCTCAGTCTCCCAGAAAAGATTTTTTATAAACAAAGTTGCGGGTAAAAGTCAAAGAAACCGGCACAAAACGTGATTTGATTTCATGATAAATCAAAGGGTAGTTACGGAAGCCAAGGGGGGCCACTTGGTGATTTCGTGTTATTTTTGACTTTTCCATTTTTGTTTTTAAGTTTTTGCTTTTCACTTCGCCATATTACTTTTGGGCTGAGATTTTCGTTTTTATTTTTCACTTTTCCGTTTTCGTTTTTAACGTTTTGATTTTCACTTCGCTATTTAGCCTTTCGATTTTTATTTTTTACTTTTCCCTTTTTATTCCTAACTTTTTGATTTTTACCCATCTATTTCGTTTTACTTTTCAGTTTTGCTTTGACTTCTCTATTTTCGTTTTTGCTTTTAAATTATATAACGAAAACCAAAACCAAAACCTAACAAGAATCGCCGAAAGGCGATTTTTAACTGGGCTGCCAAGGGGCTACTTTTTTCTGCGGGGAGGGGGCGGCTATACACACTCAGGCTACCATAAAACCTTGTCGCCGACCATTGCGGGACATACAATCTAATGCGAGACTGAATCATAAACTCATTCAGAACATTATACCCTTTTGAAAGACTTTCTCAAAAAGATAATGAGAACCATTTTTAAGTGGGGGCTGTATAGTAACTTTTTAAATTCCACCATTATGAAAAAATAAATAAATAAACAAGTTAGCCATCAATTCTAAGCAGGGAACGATTTGCATTATTTTCACGCATCCCTCCCCCAATCCCTCTGTCCCCCAGAATATAGCGTGACAGTATAACGTGACTAATTTGAGGTAACCGGAAATTCCAAAAATAATTGTCGTTCAACGAGTATAAAGCTACTCGCCACTGGGCTGATTTACACTAGACAGAAATATCGTATTGTATGAAAACCAGCAGTTTACTAAGCCAGGCAGCCAACTGCCCATTGATCCCGATCCACGGGCCTCACGTCACGGACTGCACTGAGGCTTTAAATAGACGATCCCAAGAGAGAGAAGAAGTGTGACGTCACGTTACCACGGTAGCACTTTTTCTGGATGACAACGAAACCAAAGATGACGGCGACGGCAAGGAGAACGGCAAAAAACATTATCAACAAACAACAACTTTGCACGTGAATCACGCTATTTTGTACATTTCTTTGCCATCGTTGCACCACTACGACAGGGGGGTCCTACAGTTGAAAAGGCGCGAGAAGTTAAGAAGACTGCAACAGAAATAATTGCAAAGGCCACCTTCACTTTACGCAAATGTAGCTCAAACGCTAGAGAGCTAGAATTAACCGAAACAACTGACAGTGAAGTTGGGCTTACTTACGCTAAAGAACAGCTAGGAGAGAAACCAGGCGCGTGTCTGGGATTGCGATGGAATAAAGAAGCTGATAAAATAGCTGTAACCTTCCCTACAGAGATTGCTGACCCTACCAAAAGAGGTGTGCTGTGCAAAATTGCGAAGATCTACGACGCCATCGGTTTTGCTGCGCCCGTAAACCTAGAAGGAAAGACTGTGTAACGCGATATATGCAAGGAAAAGACCACGTGGGACGCAGAGATTCCATTACAAATCGCAAAAAAGTGGAGCAAGTGGGAAAATAACCTGCCTGATCAAGTTAAAGTTACCCAGGTCCTTAGCTGTAACCGGAGAAGAAATCCGTGAAATTACTCTTCATGCCTTTGGCGATGCAAGTGGACAGGGATTAGCAGTAGGTGTTTATGCAGTGGTCCGGCAACATTCAGTGGTGACGCAGGGACTCGTCCCAGCGAAGGCACGTCTCGCCAAAGAAGGTCTTACTATCCCCAGACTTGAGTTAGTGGCTGGTCATATGGCGGCTAACTTGCTAACTAATGTACGAGATGCACTGATCGGGTTTCCAGTTAAGTCCTTGTACGCATGGCTAGACAGTAGTGTCGCCGTACACTGGATAAGGGGCTGCGGGGAATACAAGCAGTTTGTCAGCAACCGGGTCCGCAAGATCAGACAGAAAATTGGAATCACATGGAGGCATGTACCGAGCCAAGAAAACCCTTCAGACTTCAAGCCCAGAATCTAACGCAGAAGCGAAAGCCTCCAAGCAGATTTTTGCCTTAGCAGTAGAAAGCAACGATGTTATGGACGAAATGTTACTAAGATCATCCCTTTAGCGCACATTGAGAGTGGGGGCGTGGGTCGCACGATTCCTGCGCAACAGCAAATCCCCAAGAACTCAGAGAATCAGAGGCCAATTAACTACCGAGGAAATTAACAAGCAGAGGTTGTTCTAGCAGAAGAAGACTCAAAAACAGTGGGACGGATCTGATCAATTCCAGGAAGACTAGTTAAGACTTAACCTGCAGCCAAACCGAAAGGAGGTTCTCGAGTGCCGTGGAAGAATCTAGGGAAACTATCCCGTCTATCTCCTCGACAGTGCTTTCTACACTCTGAAGTTCGTACAACACGCTCATGAGATTACTCTTCACGGGGGAGTAGGACTAGCCATGGCCAACGTGCGAGACTCTCATTGGATACCAAGGTTGCGCAAGCTTGTTAAACGAGTAATCAAGCAATGTTACGGATGCAAACGGTTTCAGATCACTGCGTTCGCCAATCCACTTCAAGGAAATTTACCTCGCGACCGCACTGAAGGAAATTCACCCTTTCAAGTTGTTGGTGTTGACTACGCCAGTCTCATCAAGTACCGCACAAGCCGTGAAAAACAGAGAAGGGGAAGCCTATATTGTCCTGTACGCCTGTAGTCTGACACGAGCGCCTTACCTAGAGCTTACTAAAACCTTGGAGACTAACGAGTTCATCAGCACCCTTAAGCGCCTGATCGCCAGAAAGGGCCGTCCAGAGAAAATCTATTCCGATAACGGTAAAACGTTCGTGGCAGCAGCGAAGTGGCTGAGAAACGTGATGAAAGATGAACGCCTGCATAACTTCCTAGCCGAAGTCGACGTCAAGTGGCAGTTCAACCTGTCCAGAGCACCCTGGTGGGGAGGTCAATTTGAGAGGATGGTCTGCTCTTGTCAAACGAGCCTTTAACAAGACAGTGGGAAACGGTATGCTTACGTGGACGAGTTACAGGATGCCCCTCTGGACGTTGAAGTTACCATGAATAACCGCCCGCTGAGCTACGTAGAACAGGACATTCAATCACCCATACTGACCCCCAACCTGTTGCAGTTTGGCCGCCCGAATCTATTGCCTGAAACACAGAGCCATCAGTTGGAGAACCAAGACCTGAGAAGGCGTGCAGGGTACCTGAAGAAATGTAAAGACGTACTATGGCGGAGGTGGTCTTCAGAATATCTAAGAGGCTTGCATGAGCAGCACAATTTAAAACACAAAGGAAGTAAGGTGACCCTAGCTAAGGGAGATGTTGTCATCATTAAAGGCGAAGAAAAGAATCGTGGATTGTGGAAGCTAGGAATAGTCATTTAAACAGCTGATGACTGGACGAGACAGAGTTGTCAGAGGGGCTAAACTGCGAGCGGGAAGATCTTAGCTGGAGAGACCTGTCCAACACCTTTAGAACAATCAAATTGTTCATCAGTATTCGCGATGAACAGGGGGAGAGTGTTATGAAGCAAGAGTGTAGCGTGATTGTGAGATGGCGTGATTTTATTCCTTTTAAATTTTGTTATTAACAGTTTCACTCGCCTGTCAGAACGACAGAGAACTTGCTGACAGATCGGATTAAAAGCTAAAGCTTATAGATTCACAAAAGTCACGATTTTGTGTAGTGTGTGAGCGAGCCATTGTACTGTGAGGATTGAAGCTGTGAAATAAACCCTGTTTTGCTTTAAACTGTGATATCGTGAAGAACGGCCGTACGGCATTCACGACAGTCTGCAACAAGAAACTTAATTTTTGGCTGTCGTTGTTTTGCAGCCGAGGGAGGGACGATGTTGCCAAGGATACCATATGAAGAGGGATTTCATCGTTTATGTTTGTGCCAATTGACCGGATCGGTCTAAAAGGTGCGCATGTTTACCAAAATCCTTTCATCACTGTCTCTGTTAAAGGTACTGATAAAACTTTTCGCTCTTTAGACAACTGACATTTACAAAGATGCGTAGAAAGCGCGAACATGATGAGAAAAGCTTCAACTTGTTGCAATTCTCTCTCTTCGTGTGAAAATTATTTCCGGTTCCTTACAAGAAACGAATATGCTATTTGTCTGATCGCTCAGTCAAATAGAAATTAATCTGCTTTGCAAGTTTTAAGAAACAGAAAATTACTTACCAGAATTGACCCTATCACATTTTATACCGCGTAGAACGACGATGATTTTTGGAATTTCCGGTTACGGATCAAATAACTGTCAATCACGATGTCTACAATAGTTCCTAAATTAGTGAGAACGAGGTATCTAATAGCGGGGCTTATGTAAACAAGGTATCTAAAATAATGGCCTCATACTCACGAAGCTCACTTCGCTTTGCGCAACCAACATTCAACAACGTTCCATTAAACCTCTACGGAGGGGAAAGCAGGAGAGAATCAGGGCGATAACCAAGAGATGAATCACAATGGTTGCAACTGTCGACGTTTAACGTTTGTATCAGATTTTGATTGAAAGCCAAACCGTGTAAACGACAAAGAAAGCGTCATTGTTTTTCGAGTTCAAGGTCCACCTGAAAACAAAGCGAGGTTGTCGCGAATCAAACCAAGCTCCTTATCATAATAAACTTAATAACCATCCCTGAACTATAATAAAAACACGATAAACTTGGGCACTCACCTAATTAACAACTGAATAAGATCTTTTCACATCAAATTTGCTGTCGCAAATTTGCAATGGATCTTCACTGTCGAATCGAGCTGTCGCGATACATGTATTGAAGAGGCGCTAACGTTGATGAAGTTTGACACTACAAATAATGTTCCCATGAAACAGAATGGTGAATTTCCTCTGATTTGGGTGCTTTCAGGTTCCTGCAACAGAAGTTATGAGTATTTTTTGCTTTCTGGCTCCCCTGATAATTGGCTTCTTTAACCCTACAATCTGCTTCCGCCGCTGCATGGTTAGAGTGGTACGTCGGGTGCGCTTTTCTAGATTGCTCATAGAAATAAAAATGAATTTTGCAAGGAAAATAGAAAATAACTTTACCTCGAAGATTAGTCTAAGGCAGGTTAGACGTTCAGTACGTCATTGAACTGCCCAAAGAAACATGCAGTTTGGTCCAAACGACGATGGCTGTGCATAAGGTATGCTTTACATTTCAAGACAAATATTTCAAGAGTATGCGTGACCTTTAATATCAGGGCCAGGGGAGGGAGCTTTAATAGGTCTTAATAAACAAAGATGTTTTTGAGCGACGCACGCCAACCGGAATTGAGGTTTGTTCCCTTTAAATTTGCCTTGACACTATCAAATTTGTATTGCCTAATGTCTTTACTCTTATTGAGATGATTTGCCCGAAAAGTTGGGCAAAACCACTGCTCAAGAATCCACTACAAGTTGACTTCCGTCTGAGCTCAATAACGACATTGCTTCTGGATATAGGGCTTAATTCAGCTAATTACTTCTAAACACGCCCCTGGTTTCGATCTCAGTTTCAGTTATCGTAAATAAGACACTTGAGGTAAAGGAGTGCTTATTTTAAAGGAAGGCTAATTTTGTTCTTTCGATTTTCAACCTCAAGTTAACATATAAATTGTAATAGTTGCAAATGAACGAAAACTTGAACATTAAACAGGAAAACGGAAGCATGACCTTCACCTCGCGTATGGTTTTTGTCCGTTTCAATTTCAATCAAGATCGAGATAGGAAAAATCCCGATTTTGACATCTGTGTTGATAAGTACACAAGAACACCTAAAAGAGTGCGCTTAATTGAAACTGATACCCTGCAAACGTAAATATACCAAATAAAAATAGGCATAAAAATAACACTCTATTTAGCGAACATTTTAGAAAGAAATCGCCGTCTCAGAACACAAGAACTGAGCGTTTCAGAACATCAAAATTTCAAAATTTTCTCGGATAGCATGCTCCCAGACCCCCCGCCGGCTCGCACCCTCGGCACTCACGTGATTCGTCGGTTATCAAAATACATCTTGATTGTACGTACTCAAAAGGTTGAACAGTCTGACCATTAAAAATTGAAAATGAAAAATTTACAAGGTGATTTTCAAGTTTTGATTCATTTGATCATTCGCCGCCAGTGCCTGCATGCGGCAAACACCGAAAAATCCGCACCCAAAAGAAAAAAACTTCTGGCATTCTGGGTATTCAGGAAGGCAAAAAAAAAATATTGAACAAACGTTAAAACTACACCAAATATGGACAGGGTTATGGGCACCTGATTCGAATTATTGAATAAACGCCACATGATCAAGAATACGGAACTTGAGTTTGAACACCAAAAACTCCCATCATTCAGTAGCTGGCATGATGTGTTAAATATCACAACAAACGCAATAGATCTGCATATAAACTTTGAAATCCAAGTAGCGGTAAACATTCGCGCGCGTAACAATAACACAAAATGTTAAATCAAAATGTCGCTAAAATTTAAAAAAAGTCAGATCATTTAAAGTGGTCCAGATTATAGGGAAACATTAAGTATAAAACCAACCGAAAGCGATGGCCTCTTGATCTAACCAATGAATGATGGAAAGAAATTTTAAAAAGACGAACCAACCTACCAGCCTACCAGCCACCACACCCCTTCTGAAATGAGCCTGTTTTGTAAGGGAGAAGGGAGAAATTTCGTGAACGCTCGCACGCACGAAGGGAGAACATAAAACCTAACCAAAAAACTTAACCAGAGCCTTCCACGCAGGCTAATTCAAGGCTATCGAACGTGTCTTTCTTTTGAGATGTTGAAATGGTGAGAAAATCTTTTTCCTCATAATTAACAATATATTTTGGCGTTGTTTTATTCTGTCTTTCGTGCGAAGGTACAGCGACATTTTTCGAATTCCAGCACTACAAACCCAAAAAGGACATCGTGAGTACGAGATGTTTCGAATTCATGGAACAAGATGAGTTCAAGCCGGGTCCCGCCTGCATAGAACTGAACAGAGAAGTTTGTGGTTCCACTGGTTCCCAACCTCGTCCCCAGGGTTGAGGGAAAAGCCCTGGGGATTAGGTTGCACTGGTTCCGTGTACTACGACTAGTCCCGCATTAGGGCTCACGAAATACGTGAGCGCGTATATGAGATTCGCTGTGCGCGAGGACAGGCGAGACGCGGTGGAATAGGAGAAATGAGGGACCTCAATTTTTTTTCTTCCTCAGTCTCGTCGACGAGTGTCTCTCTTTCCTGTGTCTCCTGTGTCTCGAGGCGATTTTTACCCGCGTACTTTCTGCACTCTATTATCCATGAGACAGTCCCTTCCAGACGTTCAGATTGTGGAGGATGACGTGAAATCCCCCACTCGCCGGAAAAGGCTGTCTCTGAAGGTAGTGAAGGACCGCTCGTATTTTACTGAATTTGCTAGATTTAAATTAACAAAGCTAACAACAACGTTCTTGATGATTTGCTCTAAAACCGTTGCAAAGACAAACATGCCAAAGCACTTCAAGGAATCATTTAGGATATTATTGATACTTCTGGATAGAATGAACCAAGTAATTCAGCTCTGAAAATGGCTTTTAGACATTATTCTTAAACTTAACATGTAATAGAGCATTACAGTTACACGAAACTGAAAACTATATCTTAGAGATTATTTTACTTTGTAAATACATGACAAAAACGTGAACAATAGCAGAGATTTTAAAGAAATTATAGCAGTAGTTTATATTTTCACTCGCCTGTCAGAACGACAGAGAACTTGCTGACAGATCGGATTAAAAGCTAAAGCTTATAGATTCACAAATCACAATTTGTGTAGTGTGTGAGCGAGCCATTGTACTGTGAGGATTGAAGCTGTGAAATAAACCCTGTTTTGCTTTAAACTGTGATATCGTGAAGAACGGCCGTACGGCATTCACGACAGTCTGCAACAAGAAACTTAATTTTTGGCTGTCGTTGTTTTGCAGCCGAGGGAGGGACGATGTTGCCAAGGATACCATATGAAGAGGGATTTCATCGTTTATGTTTGTGCCAATTGACCGGATCGGTCTAAAAGGTGCGCATGTTTACCAAAATCCTTTCATCACTGTCTCTGTTAAAGGTACTGATAAAACTTTTCGCTCTTTAGACAACTGACATTTACAAAGATGCGTAGAAAGCGCGAACATGATGAGAAAAGCTTCAACTTGTTGCAATTCTCTCTCTTCGTGTGAAAATTATTTCCGGTTCCTTACAAGAAACGAATATGCTATTTGTCTGATCGCTCAGTCAAATAGAAATTAATCTGCTTTGCAAGTTTTAAGAAACAGAAAATTACTTACCAGAATTGACCCTATCACATTTTATACCGCGTAGAACGACGATGATTTTTGGAATTTCCGGTTACGGATCAAATAACTGTCAATCACGATGTCTACAATAGTTCCTAAATTAGTGAGAACGAGGTATCTAATAGCGGGGCTTATGTAAACAAGGTATCTAAAATAATGGCCTCATACTCACGAAGCTCACTTCGCTTTGCGCAACCAACATTCAACAACGTTCCATTAAACCTCTACGGAGGGGAAAGCAGGAGAGAATCAGGGCGATAACCAAGAGATGAATCACAATGGTTGCAACTGTCGACGTTTAACGTTTGTATCAGATTTTGATTGAAAGCCAAACCGTGTAAACGACAAAGAAAGCGTCATTGTTTTTCGAGTTCAAGGTCCACCTGAAAACAAAGCGAGGTTGTCGCGAATCAAACCAAGCTCCTTATCATAATAAACTTAATAACCATCCCTGAACTATAATAAAAACACGATAAACTTGGGCACTCACCTAATTAACAACTGAATAAGATCTTTTCACATCAAATTTGCTGTCGCAAATTTGCAATGGATCTTCACTGTCGAATCGAGCTGTCGCGATACATGTATTGAAGAGGCGCTAACGTTGATGAAGTTTGACACTACAAATAATGTTCCCATGAAACAGAATGGTGAATTTCCTCTGATTTGGGTGCTTTCAGGTTCCTGCAACAGAAGTTATGAGTATTTTTTGCTTTCTGGCTCCCTGATAATTGGCTTCTTTAACCCTACAATCTGCTTCCGCCGCTGCATGGTTAGAGTGGTACGTCGGGTGCGCTTTTCTAGATTGCTCATAGAAATAAAAAATGAATTTTGCAAGGAAAATAGAAAATAACTTTACCTCGAAGATTAGTCTAAGGCAGGTTAGACGTTCAGTACGTCATTGAACTGCCCAAAGAAACATGCAGTTTGGTCCAAACGACGATGGCTGTGCATAAGGTATGCTTTACATTTCAAGACAAATATTTCAAGAGTATGCGTGACCTTTAATATCAGGGCCAGGGGAGGGAGCTTTAATAGGTCTTAATAAACAAAGATGTTTTTGAGCGACGCACGCCAACCGGAATTGAGGTTTGTTCCCTTTAAATTTGCCTTGACACTATCAAATTTGTATTGCCTAATGTCTTTACTCTTATTGAGATGATTTGCCCGAAAAGTTGGGCAAAACCACTGCTCAAGAATCCACTACAAGTTGACTTCCGTCTGAGCTCAATAACGACATTGCTTCTGGATATAGGGCTTAATTCAGCTAATTACTTCTAAACACGCCCCTGGTTTCGATCTCAGTTTCAGTTATCGTAAATAAGACACTTGAGGTAAAGGAGTGCTTATTTTAAAGGAAGGCTAATTTTGTTCTTTCGATTTTCAACCTCAAGTTAACATATAAATTGTAATAGTTGCAAATGAACGAAAACTTGAACATTAAACAGGAAAACGGAAGCATGACCTTCACCTCGCGTATGGTTTTTGTCCGTTTCAATTTCAATCAAGATCGAGATAGGAAAAATCCCGATTTTGACATCTGTGTTGATAAGTACACAAGAACACCTAAAAGAGTGCGCTTAATTGAAACTGATACCCTGCAAACGTAAATATACCAAATAAAAATAGGCATAAAAATAACACTCTATTTAGCGAACATTTTAGAAAGAAATCGCCGTCTCAGAACACAAGAACTGAGCGTTTCAGAGCATCAAAATTTCAAAATTTTCTCGGATAGCATGCTCCCAGACCCCCCGCCGGCTCGCACCCTCGGCACTCACGTGATTCGTCGGTTATCAAAATACATCTTGATTGTACGTACTCAAAAGGTTGAACAGTCTGACCATTAAAAATTGAAAATGAAAAATTTACAAGGTGATTTTCAAGTTTTGATTCATTTGATCATTCGCCGCCAGTGCCTGCATGCGGCAAACACCGAAAAATCCGC